GCCCTTTCCCAAATTGAACAGGTGGTTTACAATGAGTAGAGTTATGCAAATCAGTAGTGAGATGGACATGAGCTAGTCAGGGTGAGCATGTCTCAGGTTTATTCGGGAGAACAAAAGAGAGTGGATATTGCATTTCTTGGCCATGTAGTTCAATCTACTGTTCTTCCACAGACACTGAAACACGGGGAACTCAGTCCATAAAGCTGCAGAGCAAAAACTCTCCTTAACCAAATCAATTAATTTGTCCACTTGTAGGAAACAAATGACACCAGCACGGATGGCCGTGCAAGGCAAAAGAACAGCAACTACGTTCCTTCAAAAGCAATAAAATATTTTAAAGAAGAATTGCTATTGCCAAAAGTAAACCTTCATAACAAAGCAGACCACTTGTGGCAGGCTTCCCAGTAGTAACATCTACACTGTAGGAAGGAGAGCACCCCTCCTTCTTGAGCGGGCATTCATACTCCAAAGTGATGGTCATGCTTCACCCAGGAAGAATTATGTTGCTCACCATGAAGCTTAAACCTCTATCAGACATCTCCCACTCATCCATGTGTTCCTCTTTCAGGGTCTTCGAGATCAGTGGGGTTTTTTTGTTTGTTTGTTTTTTGTTTTTTTTTAAATAAAGGGAAAAAGGCAAAAAAGGAAGAAAGGAAGGAGGAAGGAAAAGGAAAACTAATATTCAACATTGCTCCAATTTTCAGAGAAAAAAAATGTTAAGTCAGATTTGCCTGGAAAAATATATCACCAGGAGGAAAAGCCTCAAGATCTGAGTTACTGAGTTTTGTTCTTTTCTGAGATACGTTGCGAGTCACCTAAAACTTTTGAATATCTTTTTTTCCATTTATACCTGTAGGGATACTCACTACTTATTTCTACAGCCTAATAGGATTGCAGAGTTTCAGAGATAATATGCACAGCAAGTACTTTCTAAGTTATAGCTTTGTGTATAGTATTAAGTTAAATATGCTTATAATAAATACGAGTTATTTTGTGATCTGTAACAATATATAACACAATATTAGTATATTTTACCAATTATATTTTCTGTAATATATGTTATATTGGTGATTAATATCAACTGATAATTCTATAATGCATATATTTATGGATTAAAAGTTAAAATAACCTTTTATTTAATAAATTATTTTTCTTACTGGAGCAAAGGAAGAAATGTGATACCCTGAGGAATTCTATTTCCAAGAAGGTACCTCCAAGTACACTCGTCTTGATGAGTTACAGCCTTGTCATTTTCACTGTGATCTGTCCACTTTGTCAGTGAAACACCAGCCTGCTCTTCTGCGAAGGAAACACTTACAAACTCGATGACTCTCCCTGAAGAGCAGCTGATGCTGCCGAGTCTCACATGTGTGGTCCTGGGTCGACAAACTTGAAGAACGACGCTCTCCTCAGGGACCCTCCCAGGGCTGTGGTGGCCTCCATGGGAGCAGCCCTGGAGGAGACTCCTTGGCCTTTGTTGAGTTGTCGGGCCTGATTCTCTAGACTTTTCTAATTGCCTAACTCCTGTAACCCTCCAAAGGAAAATAAGCATCTACTAATGGCACACAGACTGCACCAGAATGTTTCCTTGAAGACCACTCCTCTCACAGCTCGAATCATTGCATCATGTTGC